GAAACATCACAGATCACCAAATCAGACCTCACAGAGGCCTTAGACAAGCTCTCAAGCAAATTGATATCCACATGGCAACACACGGCAGACTCCCTGAGAAAGGACTTACAAGAGCTGGGTAAAAGAACATCACATGTGGAAGACAAGTGCGATGAATTCGCCACAGCCCATAACGACTTAGCTACCCATGTGGAACAGCTGGCTACCAAAGTCCACAAGATGGAGGAGAAGATGACAGACTTAGAAGACCGGTCCCGCCGCAACAACCTGAGACTTAGGGGGGTCCCAGAGGAAGTGGCAAACAAGGACTTACCTGCATATGTCCGCGGCCTACTGCATGCCTTTGTACCGGAGGTCCCCACAGACATGCTCCTGGTGGACCGAGTACACCGTGTCCCCAAACCGCGCCACATCGTGCAAGCGGTGCCGAGGGATATACTTCTACGTGCACATTACCACCATATCAAGGAGCATGTACTGAGGAGCAGCAGAACACGCACTAGCCCCCCAGAGGATTACCCCACGGTCAAGATTTACGCCGATCTCTCATCTGCAACCCTCCAAAAACGGAAAGAGTTCCAGCAAATTACAAGTGTGCTGAGAACCCATGAGGTACGCTACAGATGGGGCTTCCCCACAAAGCTCATCGTTTCCAGAGACGGAGAAACCACCATACTTCACTCTCCAGGGGAAGGCCTTAAAAAGTTAAAAGCCTGGGGACTCTCGGATGACAAGCAGGCTCCGACGTTTTCACCCCCAGGAAGACTCGACACTGACTGGAAACAACACACCCAAAAGAAACATTAAGCTAGTTGACCCACTGGCTCAAAGGTAACCGGGACGGTTAAATACGGGTCGGGACGAGTGCGGTCCTCCTCTCCGGAGCATGCCAGATGTGTGTCCCTTGTGCATCCCGAACTTCCACTGGCGGCAGCTGTGCGGTACCGGGCCCGGGCCTAGCCACCCCCTGTAACGAAGCATGAGCAGAGCAGTGTGGGTCGGCGGGGCTCGGGCCTGGTGCAAGCGGGGCTGGAGTGAGGCGGAGATACCCGTGGGGGAGAGGACCTTCCCGATTGGGCTTTTTCCCCCCTTCTCTCTCATGAACCACAGTGGACTCTAGCGGTTGGACTCAATTGACTACATGCGGTATGATAGGGAGGGGGTGGAATGAGTGTGGGAATGTACAATATGTGTCCCCTGCCACTGCCATGATATGAGTCTGTCTTAGAGATGGGTGCCGCAGGCCGGGGGGGAGGCACTCTACGAGCAAGCAATCCACGGGGGCTGGGGAGCCCTAGGCCCCTAACATATGAAGTGAGTTCCTCGGGTTACACAATCACAAGGGCCGGGGGGAGCTGGACGGGCAGGCAGAGGCCCGGGATGTGGGTGACCCCCTCTGTGCGAGTGCGCACACTATATGGCTTCACCATAATCCGGGACTGGTTTGTCGGGCCGCGGGGCACCGGGCCGGGGCCCAGCTGCTACCTGCAACGAAGCGTACGCTGAGCAGTGCTGGCCTGCGAGGGCCCCGGTGCGGTGTGAGTGCGGACGAGTTGGACCCGCTGTATGCCGTCCGGGGCCTTTCCTCCTAACACGGTAATGCTGACAAACCCGACTAACGGAATATATGAACCTTAACACATGGCTGCGAATCCATTCACCCGCAAGTGGGTGTAGAGGGGGAGGGAGACACGGGAATATACCACATATCCCCCTTCCCTTAGGTATAATATATCGGTTGCATGAGATGGGGAGAAGTGGGAAGAATACCGGGGGCATAACTGGGAACCCACATCTGGATTGAGACGAGAGGCTCACGGGAGGCTTAGGTAGAGCCTAATACAGAGGACACAGATATACAACCACAGATGGAGGAGGATAATGACAGACAGGTATCATATAAAGGGGGAGGAGGACGCGCGACCCCTGACACCAAAAAACAAGTTCACGTAATTAAAGTTATTAAAAAAAAATAAAAAAATAAAAAAAAAAAAACACCTAACCGGTCCAATACGCCCTAGATGACCCTAACGAAGACAGCTTTCTTCTCTTATTTCTTCATTTTCTGCATTTCTAGCCCAAATGCCACGTACTGGAGAAAATAATCTCCTACAACCCTCGTGCTGTGGGACTCCCACACACTGCCTCAGACAGAGGCATCCTGTACATAGTTCCCCTATACCTACCACTCCCTAGTTACTCTTTCCCTACCTCTCACCAACTAAGGTCAGATAAAGGAAACCAACATCATACCACTGCAATAGCCCCACATCATTATCAACAAGAGCGCTGCTTAGGTCATTCAATCCACTTGGCCCATATGGGTTCCGCAATGCACAAAAGGCGTTCTATCCAGCAAACCCCAGGAGTAACCTATAGAATATGAAAATAATAACTATTAACGCAAGAGGACTTAATACACCACACAAGAGACGACTTCTGGCTGCAGAAGCGCAACACACCAGCGCAGACATAGTATGCATTCAGGAGACACATTTTAAACATAATAGGGTACCCGCCCTTGCAACAAAAGACTATCCCATACAATACCACTCCACATACTCTACTAAAGCGAGAGGTGTCACCATTCTAATACACAAGTCGCTATCCTTTGACCTCCTACAGCTCAAGAAAGACACGCAGGGCAGATACCTGATTATCCAATGCACAATCAATGATGCAATCTACACCATAGTAGGCATATACAGCCCTAATCAGAACCAACGGAATTTTCTACACAAAGTACTAGCCAAAATCCCTACTGAAAGAGACTCCCATCAAATACTTTGTGGAGACCTCAATCATATACTTCAGATGAGACTGGATACCACAGCCCCGACTGACTCCCCACGAGCTAAAACCTTACGAAAACAGGCCAAAGAATTAACAAAATTACTAGCAGAATATAACCTCTATGATACATGGAGAACACTACATCCCAATGACAGAGAATTTACCTTCTACTCTCGGGTGCATGGCACGTATACTAGAATTGATTACATATTTGTCTCAGGGGACCTTCTACCCAGGGTGTCTCAGGGCGACATAGGGAACATTGTATGGTCAGACCATGCTACTGTGCAGATGACGTTACGAGACACCTTCAGCTCCAGAGGGAAACCGCCATGGCGGCTCAATGACACACTCCTATATAACAAACAATTCCAAGATAAGTTGACAACGGACATAACGTCATACTTCAGTGATAACGACACACCTACGATTTCGCCAGCTACCTTGTGGGAAGCACACAAAGCAGTCATAAGGGGTATAATAATAAGCCAACAGGCATATCTCAACAAGCGAGGAAAACAGGAATATACCGCCCTTCTCAGAGCCCTCAGGGATGAGACATATAAACAAATCCAGCATCCATCACCTACAACACAATCCACAATAGACTTGTTAAAAGAAAAACTCAATGACATACAATTACAAACAACGGCAAACATAACCCACAAGTTAAAACTAAACACATACACCCAAGGGAATAGAGCGGGGAAAATCCTAGCATCACAACTACGACACAAAAGGCAAAACGCAAAAATACCATACCTCTTAAACAAACAGGGGAACAAAATTTATAATCCCGAGACATTAATGATTCGATGGCGGATTACTACGACTCTTTATACAATATCCAAAAGGATACATTAACACACCAACCACAACCAGCAGACATTGATGGATTCCTGGAGGGAATTAACCTCCCCACCTTATCCCACACGGACCGACAAACCCTAGAAGGGAAAATCACACAAGCAGAAATAGCGAAAACTATAAAAAACCTACCAAAGGGAAAGTCACCAGGTCCAGATGGCTATACTAATCTATACTATAAAACCTTCTCCCATATATTAACACCCAGGCTGGAACAACTATATAATCATATTGTTCACACAGGTGATATCCCAAAAGAGATGGTATCAGCACATATAACGACATTACCAAAACCGAACAAACCACCCAACAAATGCCAAAATTTACGCCCCATCTCATTATTAAACACTGACCTGAAAATTTTGGCGAAAATATATGCTAATAGACTGGGGAACATAATACCAACGCTCATCGGTAATGACCAGGTCGGTTTCGTGCGGGGACGACAAGGCTCAGACGGAACTAGAAAAGTACTAAATATCCTCCACAAGATTCACACACAGGGGCGCCCCAGTGTGGCACTGTCGTTAGACGCTGAGAAAGCGTTCGACAGGCTGCACTGGGGATACCTCAAGACAGTTCTACGGAAATTTGAATTCCCCAACTGTTTTATATCATTAGTCTCGAGCTTATACAAAAATCCAACGGCAAGAATAGCAAATGGTGGATTTGTATCTAAATCGATCAACATAACTAATGGCTCCAGACAAGGCTGCCCACTCTCCCCACTGTTATATATCCTAGCTTTGGAACCATTGGCACAGAAAATTAGGGAAAGCCCAAATATACATGGCATAGAGATAGGAGGACATCCACATAAAATCACCATGTTTGCGGACGACGTGCTGCTAACATTATCGAAACCGGAAATCTCTTTACCCACACTACAAACCACACTCAAACAATTTAGCGACAGTACATACTATAAACTAAATGTAACAAAGACACAGGCTATGGGCTTTCATCTAACCAATACACAACAGGACTTGCTACGGAAGGAATACTCATATGACTGGAGACACGATCATCTCACGTTCCTGGGCGTACATCTCACATGCAAACCACACAGACTTTACAAAGCTAACTACGTAAAATTGCTCAAAGAAATCCGACAACAAATACATAACTGGAAGGGCAAATACATCTCCTGGACAGGCAGAATAGCTGCAGTAAAAATGATGATATTACCAAAAATGCAATATCTCTTCAGAACCCTCAATATCAAAATCCCGCAACGCTATCTTAAAGAGGTCCAAAGTGTGCTTAATACATTCATTTGGGAGGGGAAAAAGCCCAGAGTAGCGGCAGACATTCTGTATAGACCCTTTAAAGAAGGTGGCATGGGGGCTCCGGAAATAGCAAAATATCATGATGCGGCTATGATAAGCCCAATTATTACATCCTTCCACCACGTAATGCCACCCCCATGGAGTCATATAGAAACTGCCCAAACAGGCGGCTTTCCACTCGCTGCCTTAGCTTGGATACCAAAGCACCAAAGACCGAAATTTAAAGACATATGTCCGACGACAGAGGCTTCCCTCCTAGTTTGGGACAAACTAATAAACAAACATCGCCCTGCACCATACATATCCCCAGCACTGCGAATCCAGGCTATGGCACTTCTAATTCCTGGCTTTAATTGGGGCCTATGGCACACACGGGGAGCTACCTCCCTGTCCAGCGTGATGAAGGGGGAATCCATTGAGACTTTCGAGTCCTTGAAACAGAAATTTCACCTCCCCCCACGATCCTATTTCTCATACCTTCAGCTGAGCTCATGGGTGACAAAGCGGGCTAGGCAAAACAATAAACACTCACACGATAACACTATAGCAGAACTAGAGAGAGTATGTCTAGCACCCAAGCCACCACAAAGAAGTTTATCATTTCTATACAATATACTCAAGAAAAGGGCTGGAGTGGGGAAATTGAGGTTTATGACAGCATGGGAAGCAGAAATGAAAACTATCATACCCAATGAGACATGGCCAAGAGTTCTACGAGCGCACAAACACCTCACACTCAATACAGCCCACATTGAAACTTGCAGGAAAGTACTTTATCGCTGGTACATGGTGCCCTACAGACTCCATAAAATGGACCAAACTAAGCCAGAGGTGTGTTGGAGATGCTTCAAAGAAACAGGGACAATGCTCCACATTTGGTGGACTTGTCCCCTAATCCAAAAATTTTGGAGGGATATAGGAAACATGATCACAGCGATAATAGGGAAGGCACTTCCACACACCCCTGAAACATACCTACTACAAACAATACCACTCACTTACAACAAAACGGAGCAATACCTAGTATATCATGTGACTGTTGCCGCTTTAGCGGCTATTGGCAGACAGTGGCTCAACATACAACCCCCAGACCTAATGCAGTGTACGAATGCATTGCTCACAACCAAAAGATACGAAACAGAAGCCAGAAAATTAAGACCCCCCAAACAATTCTGGGAAATAGCATGGCAACTATGGGATGATTGGTATTCACAATCTGCCTTCATTACACAAACTACAACCAACACTGACGACTAACCTCAAGCAGGAATGCTACAATGGAATGGAAAAGACTGACCTTCTCACCTCCCCTTCCCTTCCCCCCCTTTCTCCCCCCCCCTACCCAGTTCTCCTCCACCCCCCTTTCTCCCCTTTTTCTTTTTTTCTAACATCATCCACATATAGCACCGCAATTACTGGGGAGTTAGGAGATAGGATAACACACTCTATAATGACAAGACTATGACATCACCAAACCGTTAATGCTGACAATAAGTAATTATGGCAAACTGTGACGATGTCAACGTTAGCATGTGTAAACGGAAGAGTCTGTATCACAAACTGTATCAAGTGTATCAAATGTACTGTAAATGCAATGCAATTGTACCATCAACTCTGTAATCTACCTGATGGATTGACTGTTCACCAGTAGCGATACTACCCTGTCTCCGATGTAATGCTGGTGTATCTCATATGTGCTACCTAACCTGTATTACCTATAAAAAAAAAAAACAATAAAAATATTTTACAAAAAAAAAAAAAATAATCATTTGAATAAAGACGGGTCAGGAACATCCTGAGGTTGAGCGAGGTCATACATCCTGTAGAAGGGAGGCCTCTCAAAGCATGTTACAGAAAACATCTGCCAAGGTCAGCATAATTATTTCAAACATTATTTTAAAGCATATAAAACAAAAAGAGTTAACTATTTCATATCCTTACATGGGATATCCGTCGCCGCCCGCGGTCTCCCCTCGTCTCACCTGTCGGCGAGCGGCGTCTCCTCTCTGCCGCTCGCCGCTCGCGTCCTCCACGCCCCCCAGCGGCAGCATGTGTAACGCTGTACGCTGGGAGGTCACTAAATTATGCAAACGCCGGGGTCACGTGATTGACCCGGTGTTAAAGAAACAGTACCACAATCACAGTGGGAGGTATGGATATCCCCCATGTTTGATTGTTAATTCTGATTGGAAGTTATCCAATCAGAATTAAACCAAGGGTATTTATACTTACCTTTCCTGTCCCTCAGTGCTCTGTTGTGGTCTTGTGATACCTGTAGTGCTGTTCTCTCGTGTTGCTCTCTGGTTTCTGGTTATTTGGCTTGTAATTCCGATTATCCTGTCTTCTCCACTCCTTTGACCTCGGCTTGTTTCTCGTTCTCCCGTTTTCTGGCTCCCTTTACTTGGCTTGTCTCCTGACTATTCTTCGCGTGCTTAGCCCGGCCACTCTAAGGACCGGTATAGCACCCTTCCTCTCTGTGACCTGTTGGCATGTTAGGTTCCAGAATCGTGACACCATTGAAGCAGCAAGTCAATGGGCGGGGTAAAAGGGTCACATGACCAGAACAGCCAAAAGGGGCAAACATGCTCAAAAAGGGGGCATGTCTGTCCAAATAATTGGAAGGCCAGCCTGGCATCAGTGTCCCTGTGTTTCACAGTGTCAGTGTCCCCATGTCGCCCAGTCCCCTAGTCTCCCAGTGTCTGTGTCCCCATTTCCCTCAGTGTCCCAATGTCTCAGTGTGTCCTGTATCACTAGGATACTTGGGGACACTGAGAGACATGGGGACATAGTGAGACATGGGAACACTGAGCGATCCAGTGACACTGAGACACTTGGGGACACTGGGAGACATGTGGCACTTGTGGATCCAGACATGGAGACACTGGGAGAAAGGGGGACACAGACACTAAGGACACAGAGACAAACAGACAGACACTGGGAGACATGGGGACACTGAGACATTTGGCGACACTAAGACACCTGGGGTCACTGAGAGACATGGGACACAGACACTGGGAGACTAGGAGACACTGGGAGACATGGGGACACTGAGACACTAGGAACACTGTCTGGGAGGCATGGGGACAAAGACAACTTTGACACTAGGATACATGGGGGCATTTGTGGAAATAGACATGGGGACACTGAGATATTTGGGGACACTGGGAGACATGGGGACACTGGGTACACTGAGAGACATGGGAACACAGACACTGGGAGACATGGGGACACTGAGACACTGGCTGGGAGACATAGAGACATGGGGACACTGAGAAACTAAGAGGCATGGGGACACAGACACTGGGAGACTAGGGGACACTGAGACACTAGGGACACTGGCTGGGAGACACGGGGACATTGGGAGACATGGAAACACTGTGTCCCTAGTGTCTCCATGTCACAATATGTCTCCCAATGTCCCTATGTCTCACAGTGTCCCCATGTGTCTCAGCGTCCCCATGTCCCCATGTGTCTCAGCATCCCCATGTTTCCCAGTGTCCCCAGGTCTCCCAGGTCTCCCAGTGTCCTCATGTGTCCCCTAGTCTCTCAGTGTCCCCATGTCTCCCTGCTGCGTTTCCACCCATTCTTCACTTACCTGAGCTGTAGACTGTCCACATATTTCCCAGTGTCCCCATGTTTCCCAGTGTCCTCATGTGTCCCCTAGTCTCTCAGTGTCCCCATGTCTCCCTGCTGCCTTTCCACCCATTCTTCACTTACCTGAGCTGGAGGCTGTCCCCATGTTTCCCAGTGTCCCCATGTTTCCCAGTGTCCTCATGTGTCCCCTAGTCTCTCAGTGTCCCCATGTCTCCCTGCTGCCTTTCCACCCGTTCTTCACTTACCTGAGCTGTAGGCTGTCTCTGCAGGCTGGGAGCTGCTGTCTGGAATCTCTGTGCTGTGTAGCTGCTCCCCTGTGGATCAGTGAGTAGAGAGAGGCAGGGAGGGATATGCTGTAACTTCCTATCCCTGCCTCTCTCCACACACAGTGACCCCTACTGGCTTGTGCTGGTATTGCAGAGTAATCTCTGTTTATACTGAGAAAAATATCTGCATTTGTATTGCCGGTATTTCTGCAATACAGGCACGGCCAGCAAGCCTCAAATAAATACATAAAATACCAGTCAGGTTGCAAACCTAAGAGTAGCGTGTAAAAAAAAAAAAAAAAAGTAAAAAAATTATGTTTTTTTTTAATGGGCCTATTTCATGGGCCTGTGCCATGGCCTGGAGCTGCAGCTCCATCAGCCCCTATGTTAATCCGGCCCTGCACCTTCTATGTGAGTGAGTCCACTTTTTCCATGTCAGGTTTATTTTCCTGCAACAACCATACTACATGCAGGCAATATACATATTTCATATAGACTAAATAGAAGCAAGGGACCATAAAACAGTAGAACCTTAACATATTCCAAAATGGCCTGTATCATCTTCCTATATTAATTTTCTGAATTTATTTCCTCTGAGCTCTTAAAACACATTTCTTCTTTATATGAATGGTAACATGCTTCCTTAAGCAACCAATAAATCTTGCATGATATCTTAGCAATAGCCAATAGCGTTATTTATTGTGCAAGGTTGATAGTATACAGTCTAGAGAAGAAGAAAAACTGAAATAAGAAAGAATGACAGATGATGGGAAAGCATACACGATTTGTGCCAAACTTTCAATAAACCTTTATATATTGATATTGACGATAGTAAATAACTGAAATTGCTTTAGTGCCTATGGAAATTAGAGCAGAAATTCAATCCATTTGTAAGAAACAATCTTGGATTGTCTATACACTCTAAAAATTGTCTTGTCAGATACATTTATTTTGTGTTCTATTTCTATGTAGTTTGTGACTTTCAAATAATTTTTGGAGTCAAACATTAAAGACCAAAGAATAGAGAAAACTAAAAATGGCATTTTTAGACATTGATAAATCACCTCTTTTGTTTCCTAATTGCAGCAATATTGTTATTCAATTTATCCAATATGTTATTTGGATTGCATGTCATTCTTACTAGAGTTAATGAGTTGATTATCAAACATAAACTCTCTCCGCTTTCCATCTTCTTCTTGGCATTTTTGTTTTTTTTACATTATTTAAATTTTTCTCTATTTTCTCCCGGGTAGCATGGTTGTCATTTTAATATGCTTTTTTTTCCTACAACCAGCATACCAGATTGACAACCAATGTAACCACTTAAATCGCCATAGTGAATTCTAGATTACTGCTCTCATTTCTGTTACTATTGAGTAGTCCCGAAAAAATGTACCATACAAATCTTCCCACAAATTCTTTCTTTTACTTTCCATAGAGTCCATATATTTTCACTCACATACTATACATGTTTTCAGTGCCAACAATATATATGTATTTATTTATAAAATATTTTACCAGGAAGGATACATTGATATTTCTCTCGTTTTCAAGTATGTCTTGGGTCCACAAAACATTGCATTGTTACAATAGGATACAATATTACAAAAAATACAATATACAAACTATATATATACATACACACATATATACATTTAACAGATAACAGGTAATAAATATAGTCAACCATGACAGGGGCATTTTGTATTGAGGTATATTGCCATAGATCTCTTAAAAGATTTTAGATTGAATGAAGATTTGACTGTGTCTGTGAGGTTATTCCATAATTGCAGTGCTCTGTAGGAAAAGGAGGATAGAGCCACGTTATTTTTGTATTGCGATATGCTAAATATCATGCTGGTACTGGATTGGAGGTTATAGGAGGTGGGAACAGCTGAGGAGAGCATTGTACTTAGGTAGGG